CACCTAGAAACTGAAGAGATGGATGATCCAAAAGAAGGCCCTCCAATCTTCCTGGGACTGCAAGAATATAGATTAAAACAAACAAACAGACAAAAAACAAAACAAAACAAAAAACAAACAAAAAAAACAAAAACAAAGCTCTTTCCCTGGCATGGGAATCCACGCCATGGAAAAAAGTATGAAGAAATACAGGAAATACAAAAGGCCACATAGAACCAGGCAGAGGGGGACCAGCATTGGGGGCAGCTTCTGAGGCATAGGCAGATCTGTTAGTATTGTCACTTTAGGCCTCTCTTGGGTCAAGTAGAAGTTTCCAGAATATGTCCTTAGTGACGGAAATATCCTTCCAGCGGGCAATCATCACTCTGGTAAGTCCCCATCTATGACCTCTATTTAAAATTCACACAAACACCCACAACATGTCCATATCGCTTAACCCTGATTGAAACTTCTGAATGACAAATGCCACAATTTACCAGTAAGATATTTTTTTACAAAATAACTTCTTAAAGTTGTGCTTGTATCATCAGCATGGAAACACACAGGTATGAATTAAAGCATGAATCAGCTACGGAATCAAACAGGTGAACGGGTGACTTGGCAGGCTCCTGACAGCTAAGAAATTGCTATGCGCACTCTGAAGCTGGAGTCTGGAGGGTCCCTGAGCACCTGGGATTATCTCAGGATGGATGCTGGACCTCCTGTCACTTTGTCACTTCCCCTTAGCATGCTCCAGTCTGCTGCATGTCTTTAGCTCAAGGCCTCTGAGTAGGACCACAACATTGCATGATGGCCTCCTTGCTCACACTAGGACTGATGGAGGCCATTACTGGATGGCGTTGTTGATAACCTCACCTCTCTCTGTGGAGAAACTGAAGAGGAGTATTTTCTGCTTGGGTCCCCCCTTCCTCTCACAGGGATAAAGTAATGATTCCATTAGTGTCATAGAGGAGACAAGAGCCCGTGAGCCCCAATGGTGAGGCCTGTTGTGTGGCGTGGATGGCATCTTTGTTCAGGGCTGGCTAAAGGAACTCAGGAAACACTATACTTGTAACTTATGAGGCTGGGGACAGACACGGTAGCTTGGCTGTTCCTTCTTCTCTTTCCCCATCCAGCCGGGGCACTGAGGGCTTAAGTGGTTTTATGTTTGTCACTTATAAATAATCTCTACTATAGCGTTTCTAAACACCACGGGCAGTGTTTAGCTTTTCCCAGAGTGACAGGGGGCTCAGAGAATGCCAGGTACCCATTGCCAGCTCCAAGGGTCTGTGTTCCCATGCTGGGGCCACAGCCGGTCATTTGTCATTATCCCAAATGTTTTGTCTCCTCTGAGAGCCCTTCTGCTCCTAGACTCTGATTTCAGGGCCCAGGGCCACAGAGTGTCTACAGGCTGTGGGTAATTGTTCGAAGGGTGAAAGGCGAAGAGACAGCTGTGATCCTATGCCCATGAAGGAGACAGCCACTGGGGATGCCCCTGCCTTCGCTCAGAATTCATACAGCCTGCTATTCTTAACCCTCTTCTCCTCTTGCCATGCAGAGTGGGGGACCTGACAAAGGACACCCAGAAAATGTCAACAATGACAAAAAGAAAGAAAGAAAGAAAGAAAGAAAGAAAGAAAGAAAGAAAGAAAGAAAGAAAGAAAGAAAAATGACAGGATCACAGAAGAGATGAAGCCAGCAAGTCGCTCTTTGTGGGATCATGTTTGAAAGACAGACATCTCCAAACTTCACACAAAATGGATTTCAATACATCCAAAGCTCTGCCTTATGTCGGTAAATGGCGGGAGCCTCCTGGAAAGAAGCCACCTGCACAGGAGAACTTTGTTGATCGCGCACAGCGACACTTCTTCCTCAGATTAAAACGAAGCATCTTTTTTATGTTGTGATAATTGCCGCATTTACTTCATTTAAATAAAGAAAAATATCACGCTGTGATTGAATTTAAACTATGAGGAAACTTTCATCTTTGAACAATTATGCAATAACTAACGTATTAAGATGCAATTACCGGGGCTGGAATCTTTCCAGAGCACCGGCTTTATAATATTTTCTGAATAATTTCTTTAAAGCGTTCCTTCTCTGATTGCACTTTCCCGTCGCTTCTGTAATTACTTTAAAGACCATTTCTGGTGGGTGTCTCGTAGCCCTGGATTTTGTGGATACCGGAGCACCGGGTCACCTGCACATTGAGAGGACAAATAGGTGATTTCAATAAGCCCCACAGAAATGGAGTACTTGGCCAGTTCACACTTTCATTTCCAGTTTTAAGTATGTGCAAACAGTGGTTCGGAAAACACAAATTATAACACGTTAGAAACGACAAGGTTTTTGTTTGTTTTAAAACAAAAATCCACGATGTACTCACTTGTGATGCTGAGGGGAAGAGCCATCAGTACTGCTTTCATAGGCCTCCTTAGAAGTTTTGAGAGATCTGGGTCACGTGATTCAAGCCTAGGATCCCAGCACCATTATGTGAAGGCAGGGGATGTGAGAGTGTGAGCCCAGCCTGGATGATGATTGAAAGAGATTTCCACATATCAGCCCTATGGCTGCAGAAAACGGATGCCATTCCCACAGAGCCCTAGAACCCGTTAATCAGGGATGTCTGTATTCAACCGCAGCACCCAGCAAACCCTACACAGCCGTCAAATTCATGAAGCCAAGTGGAGCGCCATTTGGAGGTGTTTGTAGTGTTAATCCTGCATTCCTCCGAAAAGTTTAATGAGAAAGAAACTAAGTTCTCTGAAAGCAGAGATGCCCTCCAATGGGAAAACTGGCTGATTCCAGTTCTTGCCTTCGCCTCCCTCCTGGGATCTGCCTTTCTTGGCTTTGTGAGAAAGAATCCCATTTTAAAAAAAATAATAACCATGAGGAAGGTTCAGCTCAGCTTTCACTGGGCATGCATCCTGTCTGCCAGGAAAGACAGAAGGTTTGTCTGCACACAGTCTCCAGTGGGGATAGAATCCTATCAACACCTGGGATCTAGTGATGGCTGCAAGCAACACTCTTAAGTCCCTGGGTAGTTGGGACAGAGAGGCATCTATGTCCATTGGTCATGCCAATGTCTTCACATCCTTATTTTCTCTGTCTCCTTGGAGGTCTTTCTTTCTGCTCACCACTCTTTCACCCTACTGCACAGGCTCTTCTCTTCTGTTGTTCAGCCACGCCCTCTCCTCTTCTCTACCTTCCCCACTTGAGAAGGAGTGGCAGCTGTTGGCTTAAGCTCCGGCCAGGACTGGTTGTTCACTACTTTGTACATTCTATGAGATTGCAGTGACTTTCGTGCTTAAATAACTGACTTGTGTTGTGTAATGTGTTCTACACATAACTCTCATCAGGAGTCAAATCAGAGGCTCAGAAAAGTCAGTGACCGTCAGAGGGGTCCCACAGCTGCTGCAGCATCCTCAATACTCATCACTTCCTAATACGGAACGAGCTCTTTCCTTCGTTTTCTGTTTTAAAACAAAATCTCCAGTGTACACATCTGTAACACTTCCTTACTTCATGCTTTTCCTTTTACTCTCAAGTAGAGGGATGGGGAGAGAGAAGAGCCTGATGCTGAGTAGGCTTTATCACCATGGAGCACGAGGTAGCTAATGTCAGTGTCACTGTGGATGGTGACACACAGTGACTCGCCACTGAAAGGACCAATCCTTCGAGTAGGAGCTCTGAAGTCCCTCAGGAAGCAAGACTGATGTAACAGTTGAGTCTCATCTCATGCTCTGGAGACTGAAAAGCATGAGCAGAAACAGGCCAGTCCTCCAGCTTCTCAGCCTGGAATGACGTGTTGGTTATGCTTAAATAGAGACATTTTTCCTGAAAGCGTATAAAGACCTTAGAGGTTTCACCACCATGTGCGTGGAAATGCCTCTGAAACTTTTAAAGATAAACATGATACCATTCCCAGTGCTGTGAATTGTCCCATTTCATGATAAGCAGGCTGTGAGGAGGGTTAATTTACTGGGAAATAACTTACATGTTGTCTCTAAAAGATGGACAGAATTTGGCAAGATGTATGTTCTCTTCAGCAGTACATACATAGGGAAAGATGAAGATGTTGATGAGGACAGAGTTCAGATCCACCCCAGGAATCCCAGAGGGGGAAAATGATGTCCTGCCTAATGTCCCTTGAACAACCCCAGTCTGTTATGTTCTACCCACGTCTACTGCAGAACGTCTAAGTTTCAACTCTCGGGTCCCTTGACAAGGTGGAGCCCAGAGGGTTTACAAAAATTGGCCAGGCAGTCCCTCTAGCACCTAGAGCTGTAACGCCTCTGATAGACTAGGCATGAAGCAGAAGGATGCTCGCCGACCAAGAAGAAGCTGGAAGCAATAGCCTCAACGCTGAGCGGATGACTGTGGAGGTTAAGGGCGTGGGTTTTTTCCTGATAGTGATGAGAATCTCAGTAACTAGTCATCCCTTCTGGACAGAGGTGTGTGGGGTGAGCAGCTCTAAACACTTGCCAGGTCTGATCAGGTGAAGAGCAGTGGCCTTGGGAAAAAGAGTGATAACCACAGCCCACATTAGCTAGGAATCCTGGCAAACTTGAGAATTAAGTACTGAAGGATAATGTCTGATCCCAACCAATGTGTTCTCATATTTGAATTTTCTATTTTGCAATATAAAATGGCCTGTTAAGCCCCTTGATATGCCCAGGTAATTCCACAGTTCTTTTCCAAATACATCAGTGACCTCTAAACACAGTAAAATTTCAGTACACGAAGTTATTTCAAGACTTAAGTACTATTGAGAAGAGACTGATAACCACAAAGGTCCAAGTGCAAATGTTTAGTAGGTACAGATGCACCAGCCGGGTATGAGAAGATAACCCAAGAAGGAAGATAGTATAGTTATTCCACCGGGGAAAGGTGGAGGTTGGGTCACCTTACAAGGTGATCTTCCTTCACAGAAGTCAAATATCACAGTGCATTTGGTCATAAAGACATGGAGGAACTTGGGTATTATGAGTCAGAATTCTAAGGGGAGGCCTTGAGTTCACGGGAACAAGAACAAGGTGAAGGGACAGCCAGCAGCTCCAGTGGCCAAAGACCCATCCTCTTGCTCTTCATCTCTGGAAACCAGGTGTTGTGACAAGAACGTTTCTAGCCCAGAGAATGTCCTCACACGTCTCAGGATCCATACTTCTCACCCTTGTCCATGTCCCTTGGTGAAGAAGTTCTTGTGGCCAACAGTAGCACAGACATGAAGGTTTACTCAGGAGCACTTACTGAAAGTAGGATTTATGAAGCAAGTTGAAGGAATGTTTCTGGTTTTCACTAGGATGACCAATCTCCATAATTAATTTGTGGTCAATTTGGTTAATTTATTTTACTGAGTATCATTAACAAAGATTTGTGCTTCTCTATATCTTGAATGTAAGAAAACATTTCAATATACAACTGACAGAGGCTGTACATCATTTACAAAGAAAGCATGCACATATCCAGGAGATACATGAACTATGTAATTACAGCAGTAAGACAAATTGTCACATGGGCATCAACAATAATCACAATCCTCCCTGCTGCCACTGTGAGCAACCTTCGTATGCCATAGGTTTCTTATGTATCAATATACACATTATCTCTTATTATTTTTATATTGCTACGTATTTTAATTTAATTGAATTTTAGAAATAAAATTTGTATATTTTGTGATGTCTAGACTTACTATTTCCTTCTTTGATTCCCTATTTTGCTTCTTAGAGTGGTTTACCTCACCCAGGTGGATGAAGACCATAGTAGGATTCGCTCTTTTTCTTGGTATGGACGCCATGGAATTCTCCAGCCTTTCTTTAATTATAACCTCTTGAGTCCAGGTTGATCAGATTCTGTCGGTCACAAGGTTCCTGAACCCACAAGTTCTCACATGTACTTCTTTTACTAAGCAGTGGTGTAGGGTACTGGAGCCTTGCACTTGCTGGGCAAGCACTCTATTGCTGAACGACATCCCCAGCCCTCTGACTTTACACATCAAAGGTGCTGACTTTGAAACCATCATCAGCATCCTTGGTACACGATGTCCATCCCTCCAAGCCAGACCAGAAGACTGTATACATCACTCCTGGCATGTGGACAGATTGGCATCCACATAGAACTTCCCACCTGCAGACAGGGTCGCACACAGATGTCTGTAACCTTATTCCTAGTGAATAAGGAAGCATCACTCTCTCTTCAAGTCCAGACTGCTTGGTGAGAGTTTCAAAAGCTGTATGGGTATCACAGAATCTGGTGTCCAAAACTGACTCCAAGAAAGGATGAGGAAGCCTCTCTGCTGTGGCCAGGCTTTCAAGGTGGAGATGTTCTCCCTGCCTCTCCCACATTGCAGTAAGAAGGCTGGCCATTGGAAAATATTCAGTGGTTCCTGGCACCTGAGGTTTTTATAAGCTCATGAATTCAATGAAAAAATCCACTCAAAAACAGTATTATGGGCCATTCCTTTATGCAATGATCTTTCAACATTTTTTATGGCAACAAAGGTAGATTTTGAGCTTGCATTCGAATGCAGTGTGTATTTCCTTGATAATATTGTGACAGCTTGAGGAGGGATTATGGGTACTCTCTTAAATAGTGAGCTTTAAATTGGTGTGATATATTCCTCCTCTCATTTTCCTCTTAAACGCGGGCTTTTTTTGATATTGTTGGGAAATTAATTTGCTTTACATAAAGACAAGTGCTTATGAAGAGTCCCTGGCATGACTTGAAGGTTTTCACAGCGAAATTTATTACCAAGGAAGGCTTATTCTTAAGTAGGTTAATATTAACATACGCATACATACTCTTAAGCCTCGCATTATATCAATAATATTAATATAATGTACAAAGTTAGCACAGCTCTCATGCAAAATGTCTATTAATTTTAAATTAAATCTTTGTGCATCATTAGGATAGGGGTGTGCATACACAAGGGATCTCTAACTTCCCTGAGTGTGTGTCCTGTAAGTGAGTAGAAAGTCACATTATAAATGCAGCCTTAAGTTTCACTTGTCATGTGGTAGTTTCCAAATCACGATAGCTTTCCGGAAATTGTAATTGTTTGCTAGTACTGATTTTGATGTAGCTGTTCACTGTGTATGCGAGCCAAGCCCTGTACATCTGAGTTTCCCTGCCAGACCTTTCATTTCCATGTTGAAACCTATTTTTTACAGGTATTTTTGTCACCCTTGAAGACAGCAATGGATCAGCAGAGTGTGGATTCTCACAGTCACCACTTTTGCGATATCCTTGGCTGGTTCCCCCCTAGAGCCACCCATATGCCTTCCCCAGCTTCCCTCCCTCATGGGGTCATCTCTGAATAAAGGGGGGGGTGTTTTGTTCATCAGCAGGCTCATTTCCTCTGTTGTCTGACAAGTTCAAACCCATATGACTCCTAGGCATCACCAGGATTACCCCAATACCCATATGACCCCAATCCACACACTTCAAGCCTGGGACATTGGGTCACCTGTGTTCATTGCATGCTTCCCGCTGCCTGCACGGGGTGGGTCCTGCCGTCTTGCATGGCAGGCCACTATGGTATACTTTCCTTGGTTTCAGGAGCCACATCTAGATCTTTAGTATAGAAAGAATGGTGCCCATGAATTTCCTCTGTGTGGAGAAGTTAGAATGTGCTTCTTCTGTGAGAGAAGGATGATGAAGCCCAACCTAATAAAAATATCACTCTGCAAACACAAAGACAGGAGTCAGGTCTCCAGTTGCCATGTAATGAGCCATTCATGGAGATGCATTATTGGTAGGTAGAATCCTAGGACTCACGAGTCACCCAGACTAGCCAATTCTGTCTGGTCCAGGATCAATGAGAGAAAATTTCTCAATTAATAAGGTTGATATTAATTGAGGAAGACACCTAATGCTGACCCCCTGGTCTCTGTGTGCATATGTGTATGCGTGTGGACACCACCACTACACACACACATACAGAAAAACACACATGTACACATACCTGTGTTATCACAAACTTCCCTTCTCTCCCTCTTCTCAGCATCAATCACTGCTAAGGGTTGTTCTTCCTCTCATTAGGGAAATCTCCAGAACTTGCTTCCTTTGGAAGACAGTTTCTCTGGAACAAGTTAGAAAAACACATATCCCTGTGCCCTTAATGCCAGAAGCAAACATAAAGAAAGCCATGCATCATATGGCAGTTAATTGAATTATTTGGTCTTTTGGTGTCGAGTTTCTAGAGTTCTTTATACATTTTGGAGATCAGTCCTCTGCCAGATGTGGGATTTGTGAAGATTTTTTTCCCATTCTGTAGGCTGTGAGTGTTGCCTTATTTACCATATCTTTTGCCTTACAAAAGCTTTTCAGTCTCAGGAGGTCACATTTATTGATTGCTGCTCTCAGTGTCGATTCTGCTGGTGTTAGATTTAGGAAGTGGTCTCCCGTGCCAAAGCACTCAGGGCTACTTCCCACCTTCTCTTCTATCAGATTGAGTGCACCTGGCTTTATGTTGAGGTTTCTGATCCACTTGGACTTGAGTTTTGTGCATAGCAATAGATATGGATCTATTCGCAATCTCCTACATGTTGATATCCTGTTATGACAGCACCATTTGTTGAAGATGTTGTGGTAGTTAATTGACAGGATCTAGCATCACATAGGAAACAAATCTCTGCTGATATTTGTGAAGAAGTTTCCAAAGACCCAGCCTAACTTTGGGCAGCAGGGAATGAACTGGAATCCTGAACTGGAACTGAGCCCCAGTCCTCACCTCTCTCTGTTTCCTGGCTGTGGTTACAATGTGACCAGCCAGCTCTCACTTCTGCCACCTGGGTTTCCCAACTATGATGAAACGCACCCTCAGGCTGCACAGGAACAGAACAAACCTCCTTTCCTCATGTGACTTTTATCAGGTGTTTTTGTTACAGCATTGGGAGAAGTAAGTGATACAGAAACACTTGTCCCGAAGCCACAGTGGCGCCTGCCCAGACTTGCCCAGAAGCCTGTTTCCCCTCTGCATCCTCACAGATGTTCAGTGACTCCATGTCCCCTTCACACAGTGGGGGGAACTGGAAGAAAACCCTTCTCAGGAGGAGGACTTATTAAATCATAACCTCCGCCAACCCTGCTCTCAAAGCAAACAAACGTCTTCTACCAGAAGTGAGTTGCAGACATCCCAGCAAATGGAAATCCCACAGCAGTGAAAAGCTACCACAGAGGCGCATTTATCCTGGCTGAAGAGGTCTGAGCTGTGTCTGTGTGTGCCCGTGTGTATTTCACCTGCAGTTTCAATAAAAAAAATCAGATTTAAAACTTTCAAAATGTGACTGCCTTAGACACAGGTGGAGTTTTCCTCTTCGTTATTCCTTAAGCGACAGACGTGATGCAGTCGCTATTCACTCTGCTAACACTGGAGTGAGAGGTACAAGCTACCTAGAGAAATTTTAAGGTATAAATGAGAGTGTTCATGGATTATGGGCCAAAGCCTGCACTTTATACTGGGGACCGGGACTTCCTCAAGTTGGGCTCTCTCTGGGAGGGGGGGATGGTCCTGGCCAGCCTTCTGCAGGTGTTTAGAGCATGTGCTTTGCAGAGTCTGTAGTAAGAGGCACAGGCATGATGGAGTTTCTGTGCCTTGGGTAGGTTTCTAGAAGTCTGAGATATAGAAGTCGCAGGACCTTGGTTATCAATCCACAAGGGCCTCATCCTTTACGAAATATAGTAGTAAGTCTGAGCCTGTGTGTAGTCAACAGGCTCAAGTTGTTTGCTACTGTCGCTAAGCAGAAGAAAGTCCTTCCAGGATGTGCTGGGTACAAGACAGAAACATCCACACTGGACCCGTCTTGTCTGAGTGCTTCCAACTGATGAAGAGGCTCAAATGTCCAGAAAGGTTTGCATTGCAAATTCTCTGAGAGTGTTTCTCCAGCTCCTTCAAACCCCTTGCTCCTGAGGGGCTTTGCCTTCTGTATTTGCTTATCCTGATGTCTCTCTTTGCATAAAAAGCAATCCCATAATCCTTTGGATCAAAGAGTCTGGGGTTTATTGACTGGCTTCCTCGTGTCAGAGGTTAGAGCACACTTTCAGACACAGGGGATATTAGGAAATAAAGGGAGTTACAAATATGAAAGTCAGGGATACAATCCCAGCACCCAGAGAGATCTTCAAGGCTGTAACAGTTGCTGCTGCAGATTTGTGTGTGCAGCTCTGGAAGTCAGTGAAATAATCTAAGTAAGAAAACAAATCATCCCCAGATGATAGTCTCACAGAGGGGTCACCGCCCCACCTGACTGCACAGCATCGAAGCCAAGGACTGGAGCCACCGTACCCCAGGAGCCACAGCACAATCTGAAGACAAGGAGGAGGCTGAAAGCCTAGACTGAGAGCATGCAGGAATACGGCACTCGTGAATGAGTGGAAAAGCACTGACAGACATAACCGACAGCAGGGATGGAGCTCCCTGGGAGTTGCTGCCTGTGAGAACCCAACGTTGCCATGAACTTATACACAAGTGTGCACAGACATGTGGGAAGAGTCAGCCTCAATGAGAGCCTTTGCCCGAGATTCAGACATGAATTAATTTGACCCAGCCACCTGCTTCTGCTTTAGGGGTTGCTGCCTTCCTTACTGGCAGACTAACAGGTTACCTGCGCACAGCCAATGCACAGCCGCCATATCTGATGCACCATGTCTGAGGTCAGAGGGTTCTGACTATTTGCTGTTTCCGAGTCTCAGTCCTGTCTAGTAAGGAGTGGGGTGACTGCACTGTGCAGGATCTGAACTTGATATATTGGTGTGGGGGGGAACTAATTTTTAACAGCAGTCTAAGTAGTCAGTGTGAGAACCAACTGCTAGAAAGTTGAGAGGATGGTGGATCCTTGAGAAATAGGAGGATCCCTGGATCACCTACCACAGATGCCTTCTCACAAGGATTAGAGCCTGTACTGACTTAGAGGGGTGTGACCAAACAGGTAGCCCTTCTGGGGGGCACCATTTCACCTTCTCAGACACTGCTCATGATTGCCTCTTTGGTTAGATTTATTATATAAACACAGATGTTGTCTGAGATGTTCTGTCCAGCCCAGTCCTGCAGCCAGTAAGTCCCAAAGAATCACACAGAGGTCTGTATTAGTTATAAACTGATTGGCCCATTAGCTCAGGCTTCGTATTAACTAATTCTTATAACTTAGGCCATAATTCTTGCCTATGTTAACCACATGGCTTGGTACCTTTTTCAGAGAGGCGGTCACATTTTGCTTCCTCTGTGGCTGAGTCATGACTGCAGACTGAGTCTTTCCTATTCCCAGAATTTTTCTGTTCTTGTTGCCCTGCCTCTACTTCCTGCCTGGTTGTCCCACCTATACTTCCTGTCTGGCTACTGGCCAATCACCATTTTATTAAAATATAATTGACAGGGCACAAACCATTGTCCCACAGCACACAGACCTTCTTCTGCCTGCTCAGACCTCGGTGCCCAGGTCTCCTGAGCCAAACAGACAGGAAGGGTTATCTGTGTGTCACCTGGCCATCACTCCTTTAGTTTGTGGAGTAAGTAGAGCCAGGAATTTTATAGATACCACTGTCCAGCCAAGCCCTAGTAAAGCACAGGACCTTGGTGCTGTTGTGTGCATGTGGTAGAGGAAAAACCCCTTTCCAGCTACCCTCCCTCTACCCTGCCTCTCTGTTCCCTCTGTCCCTCCATTTTTATCATTCCTCCTCCTTTTCTCTGTTGCTTCCTCCCTTTTTCCTCTTCCCCTCCTTTTCCTTTGTGCCTCCCACCATTTTCTTTCTCTCCTTTTGCTCTCCCATCATCCTTCGACAGACCATCATGTCTTCAATGGATCTGAAGTTTAACCGTCTTCTGTAACTTGTGTATAAACCTGGTTTATAGACTCTAGTGCTGTTAAAACTATAGCCAGAGATACAGTGGTCAGAAGTGACCCATCCCTTCTCTGCCTCCATCCTCTTCCTCCATTGACCCACAGATTCTATAAAGTACTTGCTCATGCAGAACTCATCCCACTTAATCAAAGCATTTGATGTGACCTACACAGCAGATTCATCCACTGAAGTCATTTGTCCAGTCTGTCCAGTGAGCCTGACAGATAAAAGCCATCATGTTCATCTTACTACAATGAAGGTCACAATGTTGCGCTGTGATCTGCTTCTGCAGGTTAGATGAGAATCTCCCTGTCTACGTCCCTTTACAAAATACTCACCAGGATCGAAAGGGCCTGCTTCTGTAGGATTCTGATCCCCCATATGTCTGTACCAGCCTCTTGGAGAAAGATCCCACCATCCTCCACCAGTCACCAATCCTTTCAGAAAACTCTCACTC